ACATAAAAGATGCTGCTAGTCTTATTGTAAGCCGAATTTCAGAAAAAGCTTTTCCTAAAATACGTGTCACCCTTAGTAGTAAAAACCCACAAAGTTGTAACTAGATCGGTCGAATGGTTACTGAGAAAAAGGAACACGAGTGCAGGAAAACGTGTGATTTTATATAGGAAGTATTTTTCTAAAATTTTGCCTCTATCAATTTACGCGTTAAGCTCAACTTTGTGAACAATTCTCAAAAATTGTTTTAATTGTAAATTCTGATTCCGAATATTGTTTATTATTACATAAAGAAATAAAAGAATTCGATTTTTGGAACCCCAAAATGCCCACTTCTCTTAAGATTTCTGGTGCCCTGAGACTATAAAACTTCCATAGGTCCCCATAGTTGATAAATTTAGTTCGAAAATTCTACGGCATTGATAATTTCTCGCATTTAAGACTGTAGTAGAGGGTTCTTTCCGGAAATGGAAAATTACCCAGCGTCGATGATACGGAAACATCGAAAGGATTCGCATTTTAATAATTTAATGATTTGAAAAGTTTTAAAAAAGAGGATTTATTTTTTTGGCAATTGGATTCAAAATTTGCAAAATTATAGTTATAGATTATAGTCATAGTTATAGATTTATAGATTTTAAAGTTAGAAAATTGTTTAATCATGAAAAATCATTAAGTCATCATATAATGATATAAAAATTTTAAAAAGGGGATATATTTTTTAGCAATTGGATAAAAAATTTATAAAATTACAGTAGATTTTATTGTTTGAAATTTTGTAAATTATTAATATAATAATGGCGGTAAATAAGCATAAATTCTTCCCACACAAGCTTTTTATTAGCGTCGGATTAAGGAGAAATCTAAGGAGGACTAAATAAACTAAATTATCATTTATAAATTTTCTTTCTGATTTATTATCTGCAGATATTTCAATTCGTATTCCTAGTTTATGTACCTCTGTTTCAGGGTCGCAGAAATATTTGCTCGGGTAAAGGGGGGGTGAACTTGTAGAAAACCTACTCCCCCTGCGGTTTCGTTCATTTTGAAATATGTTGTAAAAGTCGATATTTTAAAGAACTTTTTTCCTCTAAGCTATATGTCGGACTCAATTAGAGATATTCGCGAAAGAATATTGTTACTACCACAGCGAATTCTGCCTATTCGTATGCGCTCGTCGCCATGTGTGTGCCAATTCTCTTGCCTACCATTGCTATTCTACAAGTTCACCCCTGAACCATGTTTATCAATCACTCGGACCCAAGAAATCTTAATTCGGTTCTGTTTTTGATTGAAAATATCAACATAAGTTAATGCATTTATTAACATTATATCTAATGAGATAATCCCGATTGGAATGTCCGTTACAACTTTGGATTAATCCAAGCAATTCTAAGTACGGCAAAAACGGCCTTAGTGTTTACATTCCTTTCCTCGATCCGCTCGATGTTTAAACAATATTTCCACACAGATTTTCTTATATATTTATGGCACCTGACACCACGACCGTTGCTCTGTCGAGGTTATCCTTTTTTATTTCGCAGTAACGGCCGTCGGGATAACCCCTCAAGGTGATCGAATGTGCGTTATACCAAATTCGAATCTAACGACAATTTATTATATCTTATATATTTATTGTACGATTCCTGGGAAATACCAACATCATCCATGCAGTAAAGATTCGATGAAAGCGAAACGCTCGGGACCGAACTACAGTGCCGAACAAAAGTATTAGCATAATCCGGATTTCTATGTAACATCCGGTAAATCTACATAATTACGGCTTCTGTGAAAACGATTGTTTTTATATCAGGTTTTGGTCAAAATATACTCCAATATTTATAAAAAGATAAGTGTAAGTGGCGCATGCAAAAATAAGAAACAATAAATAATAAACAATTATCGAATTTGTTTGATATTAATTTTTATACAAAAATAATAGACAAATAATAAACCATTATCGAATTTTTATTTGAGAATTTATTAAAATAAAGTATTTGTGTACATCTGGAATTGTCCACGAAGAAGCTTTAGAAAGTTCTTATTTTATAAGAACAAATTTCTTATTCCATAGCTGTAAATGTTAATAACTTTTCTATTTGTGAATTTTTGGGGGGAAACTAACCCTAACTGTAGGTTAGGGTTAGGTTAGGGTTAGGATAGGTTAGTCATTTTCCGTGGAAATGCGTTCTTATCGAGATAATACGGGAATGGTTTATTTGCCAGTTCTGAATTCGGTCTCATTCGATTTGTCGTCCCTCAATTACTATAAATCCGAAGTTTGGTTGTCCTAAGGTGGGAGGCCTTTCGGAAGTATACCCAAAGACTGTTTTCGCAGAAGCCGTAATTTTGTAGTGTTACGTTGCGCGCGTGCGACGGCGCAACGTAAAAAGGAAAGATAAATATAATAATAAGTGGAGATATAGGTAGTTAAATTTCAATTAATTGGTTGGAATTCAACCCCTAATTCCTGCTTCCCTGTTTTAGCGCGATGGTTGGTATCGCTGCCACCAGTCTCGAGCGTGTTAACGCTCTCGACAAATTAAAAGACGAAAGACAAAATTGATAGGATGTTAAAAGATTATAATTATTAGCCTTTCGTTGAGTTCGTTCAACGCTTGGTCCCGTACGGGACCCTCCTTGAATCTGGGTATGTTGGTAGGCGTGTTTTAACTGAACGGGTGAGGTGTGTTCGAAATAAATGGAAACTGTTTAACTAAATGAAACTGGTTTAATCGTGAATGAAAATCAGATAATTGCCAAAATTATGAGTTCAATAATTTAGAAATTCCGTTAAATTGAAAATTACCAGTTTTGCAAAAATGTGAACAAATGTAAAGATGCTTAAAATTAATTAACAAAATATGATTGTATAAAGCGCTCTAATATCACAACTGAAACCGACGAGTATATTACCAGGCGCGTAAAAATGATTATAACAATTTCGCTTTCCAAATTTAACTATACAATTGGCGGTTTCCGCCTGCGGTACACCCCAGCCTGAGAGATTCTCGTAACTCTCGAAAGAGCTGGACTAAGGTGCCCCCTTAGATGATGGAAAAGAAATTGGAATTGCGAAATTGTAATAAACGGAAAATAGTATTTAATATTGAATGATATCGATACCTCGTACGGTGGAACGATCTGACCTGAGGAATTCTCGTAACCCTGAAGGGCTGGACCAGATCGCCCGTTTTGCCAATTGAATAAACGTCGTGATCGAAAAATGTAACTGAAACGACTTACCGTTATGGTGTACAATAAAATACAAGATAATTCGCTTGCTAAGTTTCGGTGTATTCGCTTGATGATCTGGAACACCAAAGAAACGGTAAGATGTCGATCACTGCATTTGTCGCGGCGAGGACGGATTACTACGGACGAGTACGTCGACGAGAGACAAACGAATATCGAATTACGATTAATATAAATTACAACGAATACAATTACGCGGTATGAAGTTAGTACGGGAACTACGCGGGCAAACGATTTAAAATCGGAAAGAAAAGATAGAAATTTAGGTAGAAGGAAGATTTTACGTGCGCGTCTGTGAGTCCTTATTCAGAATACCGATTATTTTAACTCGCACGGCACTCTGCCTCGCTACGCGGAGGACTTTACCGCAGAGAAAATATCGCGAACTTCCGAATAACTCTGTCTCTCGGACACACGGGCTCCCGGTCACGTACTTACGATTGATCGATCAAGAGTGACAAATTTCGTGCGTGATCGAAGGCTGAAGGGCCCGTCGCGCGAACATCGTCCTTGGAGGGGACGGTTTGGCGAATCGTAGCCCGTTTTCGGAAGTGTCGCGTGCCCGGTGATTGGCTAAGACGCGCGAGCTAGACGAAGATCTTTCATCCCCTTTCTTTGGTGTTCCTTCCTTTTCTCATTCGTCGCCATGATAGTTTCAACGGTTTTCAGAAACTACGCAGTATTTCTCGTTATACACATAATTGATTAACGGCCTTTATTCGAGATGTAACTATTAGTTTAATTGGAATGCAATTTGAGATTTGATATTGAAATATAGATTAAAATTGAAATATCGGGTTTGATAGGAAACCGTCATCCGTATATCATGAGCAAAATTATTCATTCCCGATTTGCAATAAACAGTATGATTTTATATGTTTAACAGCGGATGATGCGCTTACGGTGGTTGTAGCGCCGCGGCGAATTATGCAATCTATCGCGCATTAAAACTATCGCCTCGATATATTCGGCATTTCGCATTTTATAAATTTTAAACAGTTCTAGATCTGGCGAACGTTCCTTCGAGAACGTTCCTTTGTTCAAAATTTGCCGTTATCGCTAGGCAGTTCTTAGAATTCCGATACAATAGTGTTTATTGCTTCGAACGACCCTTGATTTTCGAACGGCGGTCGAACGTTCGCGACGTTCGCCTTCGTAAGGGTTCTCAACTCTTACTTTCATTGTTTAAATCTGTTTCATCCATCCACTCTCTCATACCATTATTACAATCAGGTAACGATGATCGTTGTTGGACCGGCTGACGCTTTGTGCAACAGAGTGAGAAAGAGGTTTCTAACAAAAGAGTTATTACGATTTTCCCGTTTCTACGCAGTTACCAAGGGAAATTCCCGAAATGCGAAGCACTGGCTAACTGCGCAGCGCTGGTGTTATTGCTACGGCTCTCTCTCTCTCTCTCTCACTCGAGCTAACCCGAGTTTTTGTGCGTATTAGCTTCTTATTACAATGGCTGGCGACGATAGTTTCAAGGAGGGTCACGTAAACTATTGAAAAGTAGAAAAATAGAAACGACCTTTCCTCGTGTACCTCGCATGAGAAATTCTCGTAACCCTCGAAAGAGCTTGACAAGATACGCGATTCCAGGGTAGAGCAGGTAAAGAAGAGAAAGCGATAGAGGAAGTCAAAAATAGAAAAGAATTAAACTCAAACTCTTCCCTGTACATCCCTGCATGAGAAATTCTCGTAACCTCGAAAGGTTTGGCAAGAATGTACAAGGTCGAAGAGGAATGAAAAGGTTGGCGGAAAACCGAAACACCCGCCTATACGCCCCTTACATGAGAAATTCTCGTAACCCAAAAGGGTTCGATAAGGGACGCAAGGCGGATAAATTTCAAATTTTCCGCCCTGGCGTAACAAATCCTCCCCCCTTAAAACCATCGCCGCCCTCAGTGATGCTAATCTAAAAATCACGGAGTATCGGTTGGAATACCCGGTCATAGTTGACCCGCAATATCAGGCTGGGTCGGACGCGCGCTCGACGATCCGCGCTCGTCCCGCCGAACGACAAACTCAATACCGCAGCCCTGCCTTGCCTTTTGATGATTTCGGTGACTTCAATGACCGTCTGCGTGGTCACTCCCGAGCATCCTTCCACATCCAATGTGACCAGGTGGAGGCAGCCACGAACGATGGCCGTGGTATCCTCGTCCGTTATGCCTTGGCTGTCACGTGCTCGAACCTCTCTTAACGTGTCGATGGTAGCCAGGGCCGGTGCCGACACCGACGGATGGAGATTGTTTAACGCGATTCGCTCCAGCCTTGGAAGGTGTCCTAGGGGCTCCAGGGCGAACTGGCCCCTTACATTGGAGCACCCTGAAATATCGAGCTCCAGTAGCTGATGAAGATGTTCTCCCACGTGCCTAATAAAGGTGGTGTCCACCCATCCACAAAATAAAATGCGCGCGACAGTGAGCTGTCGGAAGGATTCCGGCAGCGAACGCGCAATCTCCACCGGTCCTAACTCTAGTTCGATAAAGACCGGATCCGGCACTGGGGCAGCGACTGGAACATTCTCCTCTTCATCCTCGCCGATGGTCGTGGTAAAGTCGATATCAATTAAGACCATTTCCTGGACGGATCGATGTAAGGCTTCATTATTCATTAAAGCTCCGAGCGGCTCGGCAGAGGTCAGGGTGCGGCACTGAGAGAGTTCAATCGACGAGAGCGATCGCTGGGCCGCCAGACATGCGGCCACCGGTGATGCCAACAGCGACGCGCAATCGCGAAGCCGAAGTTCCCGGAGTGCCGGGGTCATCCGCGACAACGCCGCCCCCGCGAACCCAGAGCGTGTGGCCCTGAAGCTCGCGAGACACGGCGCCGTCGCGAACAAACCCGACAATTCCGGTTCCACGTCTCCAATCGTCTTACCCAAAGAAAATGTGACTAAAGTCCCCGCGGTCGACGTTAAATCGCGGACTCCCGACGGGCGGATGGTCGTGCCCGTTAGATCGATGACCGTTAGTCGCGGACAATTGCGTGCCGCTATCGCCAGCACCTGCGGCCGCAGTCTCTCGGTGACCCATTGATCGTCGAGACGCAACGTCGCGACATAGGGGCCCATACGACGGATTGCCCAGTTAAAATTCTCGGTGGTGATCCGGGGGTGCGCCCATGCCTGCGGCCAATGCCAGTCTGCGGTGGACAGTACTCGTTCGCTGGCGTAGGAGGCCAGGGCGCCCACTCGCGAAGCGCGACAAACACCTTCCATAGCTGCCCGGTCAGAGAAACACAGGAAGCTGGCGATTCTTGCCAGAACCTCCACTGGCAGTGCTGGTGCTCGGCGCGGCTCCCATCCTCGAAAGGGGTCAGGTCGGCCCCGTGGTCGCCATAGGGCTGCCTCGTTTCAAGCGTCGGCCACAGCCGCCTTGATCTTCCGCTTGTGGAAGACCGGTTTCGTGGCCTCCACCCACCGAATAGCTCGTTCGGCCAGGGCTGCCGTCGGAAAGGTGACGAAGGCATACGCCCCCGTGGACTTCCGGACAACCACCACCTGGTCCGGGTTGTACTCCTTGAACAGCTTCATGAGGTCACTAGTCCGGGTGAAAGCCGGGATCCTTGTCACGAAGACCCGACGTCCCCGATTCTCCTCTGCCGTATTTCGATAAACGGCCTTCGATGTCGACGCCATGATGAATTCCTAGATTATTTAAATACATTGTAAAATAGGATTATTCGCACGCTAGATTTTGATTTGAATACGGTGTTATTGCTCGGTTCGCTCCTGAAAAGATCGTTCATTTCAAAATAAAATGCACTGCGCCAGCCGGACCTTCATGGAGCTGTGTTGCCCCTTCATCGATCACTTCGATTTTACGGATAAACGGCCGACTGTGCAGTGATCAAACATTCCTAGGTTTCCAGAATTTTAATTTATCGATATGTTTGCTGAAGACGTTTCCAATTTCATCCTTCAACACGACGTTTTTATTAGGAGTGATTTTAACTATTTTATAGGGACCATGGTATCTTTTGCCGAACTTGCCCTTGCGCGGCTCAACCAGGATATATGCCACGTCCCCCACGCGACCCTTAAACGGATGAGCTGTAGCGTCGTAATAGGCCTCTGAACGCTGCTTAGCTTTTACGAGATTCTGTCCAGCGATGTCTTGCATCTCGTGCAGACGATCGTTTAAATCGCGAACATATCCCTCGTAAGTAGGCAGGTCGTCGCTCGCAGGAAACGCGGTAGGTGCCCGCGCGCGTTTTCCATACACTAGTTCAAACGGTGTAAACTTGGTACCTTCGTGTACCGAGGTATTATAAGCGAATATTGCAAACGGCACTAATCTATCCCAGTCATCAAAATCTCCTAAATAATGAGTAATGTAGTCCACCAATACTGGGTGGCTACGCTCTAATGAACCGTTTGTTTGGGGTCTGTAGCCAGACGTGGTAAGATGATGTATACCGAACATCTTAGCTACGGCGGAAATGACTCGGTTTAGGAAACTCGTGCCTCGGTCAGATAATATGACCTTGGGGGCACCGAATTGCAGGATAAGGTTTGTCACTAGTGCGTGGGCTATTGTTTCGGCTCGGATATTACCGGAACCGTAATATCCGGAACAGCAATGCAGAATTTCGTTAGATTGTCTTGAACGGTCAGTATATGTTTATTCCCGTCAGGTGTTCTCGAAAATGGACCCACTGTGTCTAAAGATACTTTCGCGAATGGTTCAACCGGTGTATCTGTTATAATCATCGGTTCGCGCGTACGTTTTCTCGATATTTTTCGCGTCTGGCAACTGTGACAATTACGTATGTAGTCTTCAATTTGTTGTCGCATATTTGGCCAATAGAAACGTTCGCGAATTCGCTGGTACGTCTTTGTTACCCCTTTGTGTCCACCCACTAAACTATTGTGTAATTCCGCGATGATATCCGGGCGAATCTCCGTGGGTGGTACTTGGACTCTACCATAGCAAAGTGTGATTTTGATACCTGTTTGGCCGAAGATTTTCCGCAGGGTGCTTGATAATACATCCTGAGGCAAATTCTCGGTCAAATCATCGAACCTAGAGGTTCTGAATGACTCGATTTTCAATTCAGACATCTTCTGCTTTAATTTGCTCAAAGTTGATTCTAGTCTAGCTAATGGTAAATCGTCGTTGATATTATCTTTAACCACGATTGAAAACACGTGGTTGCTACCGCATTTTGTAACAAAGATCGTTTCAACTTTCAAATCTGGGCCTTTAAAGGTCTCAAAATCGATAATTGCTATTTCGACAAGCAATTTACTAATTGGTGTGAGCAATAAATCTTTACTTATAAAGTGAACATAGTTGTCTCGATGGTAAGTTAAGTTCTCACACGCGAAATGTACTGTTTTCGCGCCTACAGTTGCTCTATTTTCCGGCGCATCTAGATACGGCGAATCGAGGTCTACCAGTGAATCGCTAGTGGATCCCTCGATCGGTGGTAAATCTGCAGGTATTATTATTTGTTTTTCTTGCTGTTCTGAAACCTTTTCGGAGAGGCGTTTTCTGTTAGGTGTGGATAGTGCTATTGGTGGAGTTGATGGTAGATCTGCTGGTAGTTGTGATTGTTGTAACGGTCTATGGATTACTGTATCGGATAAGGTTCGAGATCGGTGTTTTGAAACAGTCCTGATCTGAATCTGAGGTAGCGCTGTCGGGTCCTGGAGTCCGGGACACTCCCGTAATTCGCTGACGCGAACTGAGCCCCAGGCCCGGCAACACGCTACGCCTACGCAGGTAGATCGGTGTTCCCGCGTCAGAGTCAGTGTCTAAGTCTGTCGGATTATCAGTGGTAACATCGGTGTCTGTCGGAGTATTGGACGTTACTATGAGCGTAGGTTTGGAAATATCTGGTGAAGTTAAAGAAACTGGTTGTTTTGCGGACCTTAAGCGTGTACGCGTCGCTATTCCTTCGGAATCTATGGTAGGTGTTTGTTTAGGTCTATTTTTCGTACCGGGAGGCCTACCTCGCCCCCTACGAACGACGACTGCCGGTGTTTCAGAGTCAGATGACCGCAGAGACCCCGATATCGGCAATAAGTTCGCATCACCTGACCTTCGTCGCGCTTCTATAACTTGCGCGGAAGTTGCTAAAAATCCATGGATTAGCTTAATCACGGAAGACGGTTCTTCCTTTTCCTTCTCGGTTTCCGAACTTGATGTTAACGTGAAAGCGTCTGATTTGTTCAGCTCCGCTTCATTAACCGGATTTCTCGAAAACGCGTCCGCGTTGGTATTTAATTTACCGGGTTTATGCACGAATTCGTATTCGTAATCGCGTAGCTTTAGACGCCAACGGACTAAACGTTGCCCTGGAACCTTGATCGAATTGATCCATCTTAAAGGCTCATGATCGCTGACTAGCTTGAATTTACGCCCGTAAAGATAAGGTCGAAAATGCAATACGGCGTATAAAATCGCTAAACACTCTTTTTCGGTAGTGAAATTATTTCGCTCGGGTTTTGTGAGCGTACGCGAAAGGTATGCGACGGGTAGATCGTGTCCGTCGATCTCTTGACTAAGTACAGCTCCGATGGCGAAGTCCGACGCGTCTGTAGTGAGCGTAAACGGCTTTTGAAAATCGGGGTATTGCAGGATCGGTGCACTGCAGAGTGCTTTGCTTAACGCGATAAAAGGTATTCGCTGTTCCTTTCCCCAAACAAAGGGTGCGTTTTTCTTTAGCAGATCAGAAAGCGGTTTTGATTTGGCAGCAAAATCTTTAATGAATCGGCGGTAGTATCCCACTAGGCCTAGAAGTTGACGAATGTTCTTGGCGTTTCTGGGTCGCGGAAAGTTCTTAACAGCGGATATTTTCGTTGGACCTGGTCGGACTCCGTTTCTACCGATCACGTGTCCGAGATACGCGACCTCAGTTCGCAAGAATTCGCATTTATCAGGTTGAAGGGTTAAACCGGCGTCGGCCAGACGCGTAAACAGGCGTCGGACCTTCTTTCCGTGTTCCTCCAACGTTTTCGCGAAGATGACAATATCGTCTAAGTATACGAATAATTCTATGCCTTGCAAAAGCTATGTGAATTTGGCACCCGACTTTTAAAAGATTAACTTTTTTTTTCATAAACTGGTAGTATATCGTTTGTAGTTGATTGTAGTAAAAATATTTTCGTTTGTAGTTGGATCAATTAATAAATAAACAAAATTGAAAAATTGACCCGCACCCGACATTGAGATATTTGAAATCGGTTTTTTCCATGTGATAGAGAATCGTTTGTAGTTGATTGTAGTGAAAAAAGTATCGTTTGTGGTTGAATAGTTTAAAAGTTATATACTCCGTATATAACCAAAAGTTGTTTATACTCCGAAGAGGTAACTTTCTCAATTTTTAATATTTTTCAAATCCGTCTTTTCCATCTGATAGGGAATCGTTTGTAGTTGTTTGTAGTGATTTTCCATTCGTGTGTAGTTGAATAGTTTAAAAGTTATAGATGATTGTTTATACCCATGAGCCAACTTCGTCAATTTTTAATATTTTTCAAATCCGTCTTTTCCATCTTTATGGAGTCATCTCAAATTGCCCTGTCCCTTCGCGTTTAAAAATGCAAAAATAAATCGAAATCCTGGCGAGATATTCTTGTCGATTAAAGGTTCTTGCTCGGAATGCAATTCCGAAATTCGTATATACTGTAAAACCGAACCGACTGAAGATACTCCGATTTTATATATTTCCACCTTCGATTCTCGCATGATCGTACATGAAAAGAAGCGGCAAGTTCGTGGTGATAGACGAATGCGCATTGGAAAAGAATTACAAGGTACATCTACTTACGCTTGGCGACGGAATGAAGCTAATAAATTAATGGATTTTGGAGATGTTGCACCGGCCAACCTACCGTCGGAAGATGTTGCGCGTAAAATAAAACAGGAAACTCAAGATAAAGAGTTGGGATTGTTTAAAGTTAGAGCGGCTCTTACTTCAGTGTGGGACATGAAGTATGGTGAAGAATTTAATGGTTGTATTTATGAGATTGGGCTGGATCATTTTTATGTGATGTATTGGAGTCCTACACAGTTATTTCTGTATAAAAAAATTTCAGAACGAAGATAATATTGGTAGTATTAGTATCGATGCAACTGGCGGACTAGTAAAACAGATTCCAAAACCCGACGGTTCGAAACCAGTCGTTTATCTTTACCAGGCCGTTTGTGGTTATCGCCAGAAGATTTTGCCTTTATTTCAGTTGATTTCCGAAAAGCACGATACCAACACATTAACGTATTGGATGCGAGAGT